TCAACATATTGTTTTGTTTACTCAAGGGTAAGAGAAGGATTTGTCAAACCTTAAAGATGCTGTTTGATTCCTGAGAATGATAAGACAAACGCCCTTTGCTATAAAAAAAACTTTGCACCATGTCAGTAGTACATACTCGCACCAAACTTGAAGATCCTGTGGCAGAAAAGCACCCTTCATAAAAATGGTAATGTTTACGTTATACATTTGGGCCTCTCTTTCATTAACAACCTAGTTTGTACTAAGCAAATTTGCGGCAATTTGCAATGGGTCAGTGGAGATGTCAAAATACATCCTAGAAACCGAACAAGGCAGGGGTGGGACGAGAGCTGCTATGTTTTTATATGGTATTTTAAACTAGTACAAATCTTGGCATCTAATGGGCATTAGGAACTTTACCTTTCAATTCATCAACATGTTAAGTTAAGCTGAAACTTAGCCAACAATGTCGATATGGTTTAAAATGTTGGTTGTTATTTATGGGTTCTCTTACAGAACTTGCAGTGAAATTGGAATATCAAGACTGGTTAGGAAGTCACTGCATTGGCATACTTTAAGTTTATTTAAAACATCGTATACATTATTCGCTCACTGCATTGATGTAAAAAGAAACATACTAGGGGACATTATGTAACTAAACCATTAGGTTAGAAGGAGTGTATAACTGATTTTTGTCTTGCCACATTTATGAATTATGGCTGAAATAAAAACATAGCAATCAGGTGATATAGCAGTGTCCGAGTCTGTTTGGCATACGATACTGATAACTGTCAAATTTACCATTATTTTGTTACTTTTTTTTTTAACATATATCCTATCAAATCAATAAGATGCTGAAGTTGCTCTTAACTGACTAAAATTTACAAATAGAGTAGCCACATTTTCAGCACAGATTGATAAGATAACCAACAATCAAAACCATTGGAAAGCAAACAGGGTTACAGCACATAGAAATCAAAGATGATAACAAAAACTATTACCCCAAAATTAGGTGCATAACAGTTCCATCAGTGTATATTTACTCATAGAAGATTGGTTATTAGATGGAAGCCTATAGGTTTCACATGGATATCAAAGCCTAGTTCCAACCTGCAGAGTTCATTAGTCACTAGTGCAAGGTGGATGACACTTTTTTCCAAAGCATTCTAAGTAGTAGAAACTCATGTAGCACCTTCTTCAACATCCTAAAAAACGTCCAATTGACTATCAACTGAAGCAACAATGACAAAGTAGGCACAGGGGATACAGCGTATTTGTGCATATAATTTCCCAATATGTATTTCAATTTCAATTTCCAATATGTATAAGCATGTAGTTGTGTTCCGTTTCTTCACTCAGGAGCACGTATAACTCAGGAGCAGAAGGTTTGAATTCATCTATTATAGTCAATGAAAATGAAAATGTTACCTAAGCAGAAGGTTCGTCGTCGTCGATCGATCGCAAACAGTGATGTTGTTCGTCGTCGATCGATCGATCGCAAACAGTGAGGGAGAGGGAAGAGTCGATCGTAGCTTCGTAGTTCGTAGGTACAGGGATACAGCGCGCGCGATCGTAGTTCGTCCAGGGGAGTTGTGAAGCCGTCAAGGGTAAATGGGTTTAATAAAATGGGCTATGTTAGATTAATAAAATGGGCTGATTTAAATCATCATATAGTTTTTTACATTTGGGCCTAGTTAAAATGGTTCTAAATACAATATGTTATTTATATTATTTTAAACTCTAATAGGACACTTTTAAGTGTCTTATTAGTTTTTAAACACTAATACAACAATAAAAAATGTCTTATTAACTTTTAAAAATAACATGATACTTAAAAATGTCCTATTAATTTCTAAAATAATATGACACTTTAAAATGTCCTATTAGTCTTTAAAATAATACGACACTTAAAAGTGTCCTATTAGACTATAAAATAATATGACATTCAAAAGTGTCGTATAAGATTAAATCAAATAGGACTCATAAACTAATGTGTCGTATTAGCCTTTTTATAGGACGGTTTCCGAAAAATGTCCCAAAAAGGTGTCCTATAAACCTCTTTTTGTTGTAGTGTTTATTGATATTCTAGAGAGAGAAACTTACAATAAGAGAAATGAATAATTCTTTCTCTAAACCTCTAACAATGTAGTTTACAAATGAGCTCTTATTCCAAAATGAACTAGTATAAAGCAAGTAAACTAATTAATCTCTCCACTTGTTGACTTATTGACTATGTTGACTTTAAGCTTCAACCTTCCCATTTTCAACAATTGTCTTCATAAACAATGATCTCGGATACAATAATATTTGACCTAACAAAGTGCTTATTCTCTTTCTTTGCTGACTATCTGATTTACAATAACATGATCATGAAGATCATTCTCTATTTCGGTCGGTTCCTTTATCTTGATCTAACACTTTTCAAATTGTCTCTTTAATCAAGATTTACGTATTCAACATTGGTCTTGTTATTAATGACATTATAGAGATCTACAGTCAGATAGTCGAGAGCTCTTCGCTTGTCAAAATCAATGAGAGAAGGATCATCAAAGTTAGGTACCTTGAAAAATTTGGACGATTCAACTGTATTTGAAGAAGTGGAGGCTTCAGCTTGCTCGACCTTCAGATCTTCAATCTCTGCCATAAGACAAAGATAGGAGGCATCTTCCTTATCAAAGGAGGATGAATCAGATGAAGAGTTGACCCAATCATGTTCTTCAACTATCAGATATTTGTCTTTCCTTCACTGAGATTTAATCTTTTAGTATTTTTTCCTTCATCTTTCAGTACTTCTCATATTTAGATCAAAGAGGAGAGGGTTTGATTACCTTCTTGGACCTGCACTCACTTATAAAATGTCCTTTTTTTAAGAATTATAGTATATAACATTATCTTTATCAACAAGAGTTAGACTTAGTTTTATCAGCTAGAGCAGAGTTTGTGTTTCTATGAAATTTACTCTTTCTAGAAATCTTTTAAAGGTATTGGTGAGAAGGGCTAAGAGAAATCAACATCAGAGATCTCATCAGAAGCACGACTGATGATTTGGCTCAGTGCCAGAGAAAAAAATGTTGCTTATCAAAAGACGTATCTATACTATATTATAAAGCATTTGTCAAAATCTCTTAAAAATATTTTTTATACATGAAGTACTGTTTATTGATACATATTACTTAAAATTTAAGATTACAAATAAATTATGCGTAAGTACAACTTATTAAAACTTTGTGTTTGAATTCGTGTAACAAATTGCAGATAAACATAATCAAATACATGATAAATATCTTATTTTTAAATATAAAAAAGTTGAATATAATTAGGATAACTATTGAAATATAATAGAATACTTAATTATTATCTTTATAAAATATTATATTATTAAATTAAAAATAAATTACTTTGTTATTAGACCTAAATTAAATTATAATAAAAAAAAGCTAAATTAAAAAAGTTACACAAAAAAAACGAGAACTTTTAAATAGTTAATTTGATACTAATATCGATTTATATTTTTATTTCAAATTTTTATGATATCTTTACATTTATATTTTATTCAAAATAGAAACATTGTCGTTTTCTCAAAACAACATAAAAACGTATTATATCGACATAGATAGAACAAATTGAAACATTAAAATCGAAATTTATCTCATTACATGGCACGAATACCATTCTAGTTTAAATTAAATTCACGCAAGTGGAGTGATTTTAGTATCTCTTATGAGACCTAAATTGTCCGTATTCACCGACTTACATGACTTGGTAGTCGTTTTCACATATCTTATCATGAAAATTTGTGCATTACTTTTCGAATAACTTTAAATTAAACAAACTCTTTATTCAAAGAAAAAACTAAATTTACTTCATTCCTACTTTCAACGAGCCAAGCCCTCTTCTAGATTATAGTCGACCTTAACAATTAAAATATGATCCATGTACACACCTTTCATTCTTTTGCATGGAGAAAATGTTTATGTAGTCATGGTAATATATCATTTTCTATGTGCTCCTATTCATATATTTTGATCATTTTTGTATATAATTAGTATTTTTAATAGAGGCAAATCTAGAATTTTTTTTAGGGATATCATCAAATAAATATATTATATTATAAAATAAAATAGAAATTGAAAAACTAAAAACATTTGGTTTTATTTATTATTATTAACGTATTCGTGCATGATGCCGTGTAAATCATTCCCATTATGAAGCCGAAAACCGAAACAACGATCTTGTTTCAAGTTTTGTTTTATTTTCCGTCCATTTCGATGCTAATTTTTAGTTTGTTGTGATTTTAAATTGTAAATAAGATGATATACAAATTCAAGGTTAATATGTTCCAATGATCAAATATTTTGAAATAGAATAGTTTGATAACGATGTTTTTTAACCCATATCATTTGTTATTCTTGCCTTTTAAAAATCGACTTATGCATTAATTAGTGGTTTGTAGTTTTTTCAACTTATAATTGAAAAATAAAATGCAAAATTTATGTTTGAATAAGAATATAGTAAAATATGGTAAGAATACTAAAAAACTAAATCTGTTTGTGATAAAAAGATATTGAGTACGAGATTATTTCATAAAGATAGACCGATTATAGAATTAAGCAAATGAATTGGACTCTCATATTCTATATAGGAACTATTTATGAAAGTCAAGTTTATTTTATTCTAATTTAGCAATTAAGTCAAAATCAAAGAAAGAGTTGAACATTGTATCAACAGAAAGAGATGAAACAAAAATTGTTGCAGTTCAGCAGTTAACAATAGACAAAAATACCAGAGATAACGGCCTTAAAAATTGAGATTAGGACATTAGCTTCCACCTCAAGCTGAACAACATATCTATAAGCTCCCAAAACAACCAAATAAAAATAGCAGATCCATAACCTTAGAAAAATGACAAAAACATTGCAACCTATAAAACATCATATAATCCAAGGGCCTTCCAAGCTTGAAATATCCAAGAAGAAGACAACAGCCCTTAGAGAAATACCATTGATGTCACAAGTTTTTAAATTTCAAAAAATAACCATATAATCAAGGATTAGTTGTTCAACATCTATAAAACCAAAAGGAGCTTAACAATCTGAATACAAATTATTGGCAAACAACAGAGAACTATAATGGCATAAAAGACGATCCAACCAAGTAATAGAACTAATCCTATTGAAAACGGGATCAACCTGACAATATATATAGTGATTTGGTTTTTTTTTTTGTTTACCTCCATCTTCAAACTTATCCCGAATTTCATTCCAATTAGCTGCTCCTTCTTGAATGTCAATCTGCTGAATAATTTTTTAAGAAGAAAAAACAATGAAGGAAATGAATGCACCAAACACATGTTTCAGCAATAAAAAACCACTTCAACATTATTGGTACCTACAATTAGTGTCTCTTATAAAACCTACTACAGGTGATGTTGTCATGTATGTTACCTGCCAAAATACAAACTCACCTTGTTACTTTGTACTTTGAGGCAGATATCTAGCTAATCAAAACACACACACACACACACACAATTTATATTTTGGATAACTTATCACACTACATTTGATTCATACACCCTTTCTAACTACTTTAGCAAATCATAAACCCTATTATGAATTCCCCTTCACTAAACATAATCCATCTGACAAAATAGGATCTCAAGTCATTATAGTTTCCAGGATTGATGTCAGTTCTAAAGAGCTTTCAAAGAAAAACGATTACTTGGATTGCTTTTGCAACCATGACCAATTAGAGCTATGATACGATCATTATGCAACTGGTAAGTCCATCGCAAGCACAAATACGAAGGTCATCAAGAGTAAGGAAAGCAAATCAAAACCCATCATTTATTTATGGCTAATAAGGTACATCAAGCTACTAAGAACTCACCAAGAAGTACAATAAGAAATCTCAGATATTAAAAGTTCATGCGTGAACCGTTCATTGCCCTGTGAAACAAAAACAAACCGATAAACATGTTGGTGGTTTCAAGAAAGAAAACTAGACATAACAAAATCCAATGTGTATTAAGTAACAAAATCACATATATATCGTTAGACGGATTGAGAAACTTTAAGACTGTTCTCACATTGCTGTAAATAAACAAAAGAAGGTAAAACAAGAACAAAAAAGAAATGACAAATGCTTGCCTATGGTTTAAGTTGTATGCTCTCTATTTAATTCTCGTGTTTCTGATTCATAGGACTGGCATAAGAGAGGATCGATTCCTTTAAAACCTTGTTGCTCAAAATCGAAAGACAAAATAAGAATCACCATTGTTTAGAAGAATGGAATCAAGAACTTATAACCATGAAATATGATGTAACTGAGAGCACATACCTTGGCCATTGAAGAAGATGAGGATAGATGTGTTATCCAATCCAAATTGAATAAACAACAGATTTCATGTTTGTAGGTGCTCCCAAGGTATAAACAAAATCCTAGTTCCTTGTGATTCATCAAAAGAAGGGGTACTGGTCTTCTTTTAGTTCTTGTGGATGAGAAGAATTATGTGATTCCGGGGTTGGATGTTTGGTAAGGAGATATTTCATCGACCACATGGACACAGAGGTTTAGATGAGAGAAGAAGAATTTGTGTGGAACGTGGTGAAAGAGATGTAAGGGTAGTTCAATTGTCCATATGAATGTACATGTTGCTTTAAAAGATGCACCTCTTGAAAGTCTAAGATATCCATAACTGATGCATCATAAAGGAATATAAATAACCATTTAAGACCTTTTATAATATAGTATAGATTCGTACATATTTATGATATTTTTACTATTATTAATTCAAAAACATTCAATAATGAGCTTATTTTGAAGGTATTGACAAGATAATTATAATGATATAATTTGCAACAAAAAAAATACACCTTTCTAATGCATTTTAGTTAACTAATGATTATGTATTTTTAATATGATAAAAGTGTAAATTAAAAAATGAAAACATAAGTGGTATAAAAAAAAATTATTCGTTGATATTCATGATATTTAATAGTATGATTAAATCGAAAAATATTCAATATTGGGTTCACTTTAAAGGTATTGACGAGACGATTATAACGGTATAATTTATAAAAAAAATAAGAAACGTATTTTTAATGCATTTTAGTTCATATATGATTATTTATGTTAATATGACAAAGGTTTTAAAAAAATGACAAAGTAACAATATAAAATAAATTAAATAACTAATTATAAAACTATAAAGTGTAATTTAGAAATAAATGATTTGATTTTAATATATGGAAGATAGTGAGAGGTTGTGCAACTTTAAGAGCTCACTACAACAAATTGGGCTTTTATGATCCAATTTTTTTTAGCGTTCTAATAGACCGCTTTATAGGATAAAAAAATAAAGCATAAAAAAAATAAAGCATCCTATTTAAAGGCGTTGTAGTAAGTTTATAGGACGTTTTTAATACAAAGTGTCATATTATGTAACATCCCGAAATTTCAAATACTTAAATATAAAAATATTAGTATCCTAAGATCAAACACTTACATTGTAGCGAAAATAAAATCTCTAATCTTACAAATTATATCACCATCTAACATTACAATCTTGATGAACATACTTTGATCTATATAACAATGCCTTGATATGGACATGTCTTTCTTTGATGCTAATTCTTATATCTCTCTTTATCCAACTTTTCTTTCCAGTTTAATAGTCACCTGGATGAAAAAGTTTTAAAAGTAGTGAATCCACGGTTTTCATATATGAACAACAACTTATACGATAAACAATTTTCATGAAACTTCATAAATTAGCATGCCTTGATGAGAATAATATTTTTCACAAAATAAAGATATTATAGTGCGTGTCTACATCACAAAGCAGCGGCGTCATGGGAGATGTCTACCTCACACAGCATTACCTGGAGAACTCACACAGCATGTCCGCACTTACGGCTTAGACAAGCTCACAAAGCATGTTCGTCTTTACAAAATCATACCGTAGTACATCCCCATTGACACTACTAAAAAAAAGGGCATCACCGACGGATTTTTCTGGCGGAAATTCCGTCGGAAATATTTCCGACGGATTTCCGACGGATCCCAAAAAAGTCAAACAAAGTCAATATTTATCCATATCCGCCACAGATCCCCCACAAATCCCCCACTGAATTTTTTTGGAAAAAAAAATTAAAATTAGTTAAAACCGATTTGTGACGGATTTGTGATGGATTTCTTATTTATTTGAATCCGTCACAAATCCGTCGGAAATCCGTCGCCAATTTTGTCTAATTCATTTAAATAAATTAATTAACGATAATCCAAAAAAATTCCGACGGATCTCCGACGGAATTTAGTTTTCAATAACAACAAATCCAATTCCGTCGGAAATCCGTCGGAAATTGTTTTAGATTAACACTAATTAAATATATATATATATATATATATATACACCTTTGTTAGAAAAAAGTTTGAAAAACATTTTTTAAAATTTCCGACGGATTTCCGACGGAATTTACTTTTTATTTAAAAAAAAACTAAATTCCGTCGGAAATTTTAAACCTTTTTATAAAAATATATAAATATATATTGTTAGGAAAAAATTAAAAAAACATTTTTTAAAATTACCGACGGATTT